TCTCTCCAGATCGAAGCAAGTTGATGGCCAATGTTCTGTTTTTCTCGTTGTGTGAAATCGTACACAGAAAAGTATATACCATTTCATCTACATCTACGTCCCTAGTTCTTCTCAACCGACCCTCATTAACAAGAATCTCGCAAAACCTATTGAATAAAGCCACATCCATTCTAACCCGAGAAAAGCATATAGTATCATTCCTTCTTATCCGCCGATCAAGGTGTCTTTGCCTATCGTAATGCCTCACAGTGTAGCTATCCATTGGCTGCCTAGCAAGTCTACGATTTAAGCTCCTTGCTTGAAGCAGCTGAGATAGTTTCATTCCTAGGCTGACGTAAATTATTAGAAGGTTGATGAACGATCCAACTGCTTCAACAACCTGTCGCCTACGCGTTGGGTTCATAATTGACAGTCTTGACATTCTGAACTTCTTATGCTTTTTGTTCTTAAACCGGTTGAAGAGTGTGTCACGCTAGGATGCAGGAGAAATACTTTGCATAAGTAGTAATCGATAAACCCACAACAAGCCATGGACACAGCAAGAACAAAAAAAACCCTTTTCCATAAGTAAACATCAATAACCCCACAAGAATCCATGGACACGGCAAGAACAAAAAAACCCTTTGCGTAAGTAGTAATTAATAATTCCACAAAAAATTCCATGGACATAGCACGAACACAAAACCCCCAATTTTAAGCGCTAAAAACCCCAACTTCTTACCCATAATCAGTAGAAACCTATGCTCCCAAAGAGAAGACCAGTTACCTGGTTGATACGGGCAACCACTCCTTCTTCTTCGGTTGGTCGTTGGCGCCGTGAATCCAGAAAAGTCACAGCCAAGATCACCCACCACTCCGATTACCTGCGCCTTGGTTTCTCGATTTCAGTCGGAGAGAGAAGCAAAAAAAAAAAAAAAACAGGTGAAGAGAAAGGAATCTGTAAAGTAGATTGGGGTTCTCATATGACGAAGACACAACTAGGGCAATTTCGGGTTTACAATAAATTATTAGGGACAAAATAGGAAGGAAAATAACCTCAAACGCGGGAATGTGAAATTCAGGGGGGAGGGTGCCGGTTTTCCCTTTTCCATGTCTGTGGTAATGTGGGTAAATTACAAGGCCCAAATTACCATGTTTACTTAGCCCATCCAAACACAGTATTTTAACCCAATTACGACAAACTATTGAAATTTAGCCCAATTCCCACAAAACATTACCACATCCAAACGACCCCTATGAGTTAAATGTTTGTGAAATTTTTTACTAATGGGCTCGACTAGACTTAAGCCCACCTATAGAAACTAATAATGGCTTTTAAACACAAAAGCAAACTTATCAAGTACAAACGGCTGAAAGACTGCAAATTAGTCTTTTGCTCAAACACAACATTTTGGTAATCAACCTTCTTTTTCTTCTTTCTCTACCTCTTCTGCTAAAACAGTACCCTGCACAAAGTTTAAAAAAAACAGAGCAAAATAACAGTTAAGAAAGTAAAGACACAACAGGGAAAGACACACGATATTTTCTATGTGGTTTCCGGTATGCAATATGCAATACCAGTACTCCACGGTCGGAAGATCACAGTGTTGTGACTTACGACGATCCACTATGTATGTTTTTTTATGAACCTTCTACAGAGACAATTCTCAATGGTGATCTATCAAATCCAACCTAGCTATCCAGCTAGAGTGTTTCCCCAACACTCTTTTCTTAACCCGAACTCTCCCCGAATTAATCAAGACACCTTTTCTTATCAAAATACACTTGCGAAATTCTTTTACTCTCTCGGTTCTTTTGATCTCTCCAAAAGTGTCCTTTACTACCCCAGGTTACACTTTTATACTCTCATTCTTTCTGCCCGTTCGAGTCTCATGCTTTCCTTGTTGGCATTGATTTGCTTGATCATCGAGTACCCATGATTGTAATTCTTTCCATTTTTTTACTCCATTGATTAATTATCATTTACTTTCCTCCTTAGCTGCCAACTGTGAAGTCGTTGAGTAGCTTCATTCAACAGATTTTGAAATAGTTGATCCCCTTTTCTATTTTAAAATCCTTCATTCTTACTTATTTTATTCCAAAGCGAGCCTCATTAATGAATCTTGGATGTAGTTGGCTGCAACGGAAGGGGTTGAACGAAATGATTGAAAGAAGACGAGGAATTAGGTTGAAAGGACGAAGGTGAGGGAAAAATTGTCATTCGATAATTTGGACTTAAATTTCGGGTAATTAGCATAAATGGTCACAAACCTTTGCACTTAGTACAAAACAGTCACAAACCTTTAATTTGTAACCATTTGATAACAAAACTTTTTTACTTAGGACAAAACGGTCACAAATTAAACAGTGTGACCATTTCATACCAGTTCAAACTTTTGTTACCGTGTCGTTGCAAATTAGACTTTTGGTGACCATTTTGTACAAATTAAGTTCAAAAGTTTGAACGCTCAATCACCGTTACAATTCACTCTAGTTGTATGGTGGTTTTGTTAATGTATGTGAATGATATTATGTTGTTTAGGATGACAATGAGAGAACTCAATGGCTCACAAACGGGTTCGAGACTGCATTTTAGTTGAAAAAACTATGTCTACTTTCTTACTTTCTTGGTATCGAAATTGAAAGGTCAACTGAGGACATTCTTATTCGGCAAAGCAAATATGTCGATGCACACATGACCTGACATCTTATATGTCGTTCAAGTAGTTAGTGTCATATACTTAACGAACAAACTACCCGACCTCAAAACATGACCAACATTTAATTTGTAACGATTCGGTAACAAACCTTTGCACTTAAAACAAAACGGTCATAAATTAAATAGCGGTGACCATTTTATACAATTTCAAAGTTTTGTTACCGTATTGTTACAAATAAAAGGTTTGTGACCATTTTGTACTAAGTGCAAAGGTTTGTTACCATTTATGCTAATTACCCCTTAAATTTCATATCTATAAACAAACGAGTGATTTTGTCTAAATTCCACTTATTAATTTCCAAAGTTTTTAGTCGAGGAATTTGGACCCAAATTTCTCAATATCCAAATCTCCATCCAGATGAGAGATGACCCCTAAGTGTGTTATTCTCCCGAGTTTGTTAATTCGAACACACATTCACATGGTCAAACCAACTCTGATACCACATTATATATTAATTAATTATAATAATTCAAATTATTGCAAAAATGTTAATTATGAACCCCATTAATACCTAAAATTGTTAATTCTAACTCTCTAAGTAGTTGGCTATCTAAGTTATGTATGATCGGTGTTCAGGAACATACATAATTTTGTTGGTTTTAACTTAGGTTTAATACACTTGTATATCCAAAAGTATCACGGTTGTGCTAATAATATCCAAAAATTCGGAAATACCACTTATATCCAACTCCGTCACATTCTTTGACGGTGTTAACGTAGGGTCTGACTGAACAAACTGCGGTGCTTACGTGGCGAATGCTTATTTCCCAATTCCTCTTTACTTATCCACGTGTATTGCTAATTAATTTTATTTAAAAAATTAAACAAAAAAAATTTCAATTGCCCCCATTTCTTCAGCCAGGAGGAAACCCTCGCAAAGCCAGGAGAAAGAAAATCCTTCCCACGCCATGGCCGCCCTGCGAAATCACAATTTCCCCTTGCTGCTCTGCCTCTTCCTCTCGATTTCCACCGCGGCGGCGGCGGCGGCCAACGCACCCACCATCTACGACTACCTCAACAAGAACGACCTCCCGATCGGGCTCTTCCCCGAGGGGATAACAAACTTCTCCATCGACTCAGCCACGGGGCGGTTCCAGATAAACCTCACCCAGCCTTGCAACGTCAAGCTGGAGAACCAGCTCCATTACGATTTCAACATCTCCAGCCTCCTGTCCCCGGGCAAGATCCAGGAGCTCTTCCTCTGGTTCCCCGTGAAAGGGATCCGCGTCGACGACCCCAAAACTGGTTTGATTCACTTCAATGTCGGGGTGGTGGATAAGCAGTTCACTTTCTCTATGTTCGAGATCCCCGGCCAATACATCGACGGCGGCGAGCAACCTTCTCAATCCTCCGATTCCTACTGGTTTCAGGTTCGCCCTCAATGAAATTCCTCTCCTTTTTCGTTTCCCGGCTAGGGATTTGATCGAATTGTTTTGTTTTGAGATGCTCTGGCTGTTTTGGAAATGTGGGAGAGAACCAAATGGAACTTTGACTAGGGCAATCCCAAGGAGTATATACAGTCGGCGGGAGGATCTTCAATCGCCTGGAGGAGGCTCAATCGGCAGGAGGAGATTTTGTCCGAACCCTAAAATCAAAAGGAGAAAGGGGGACTGAACGTCCTCGTTGTTCGTCTTCAGTGGGAATATGTGGGATTGTTTTTTTTTTTTTAAATTAATTATTATTTTTTTAATTCTTTCTTACGTGGCATTTTTGGCGTAGTTGGCGCTTACGTGTCTGCATAGTTAGCGTACAATCAGCTTGCCGTCAGCTATGTTGACGGAGTTATAAACGCTGTCAAAGTATTTAACGGAAGTGGATAGATTTGGCAAAAAACAACTTTAAAAACATGGATATAAGTGGTATTTCCGGATTTTTGGATATTATTGGCACAACCGTGATACTTTTGGATATACAAGTGTATTAAACCTTTAACTTATTGACAATTTTTAACTAATTAATTGTATTGGCGTCCAGACCATAGCAGTACAGAAGCTTGCATCTTTGCCACAGTTAGATTTCATCGACGGCGAACCAGCTTCTTGACCGATGTCAACTATAAGTCACCATTTCGATTATGAACCACCACTTGAGTATTCATAATTTGTCCTTCTATGGTCCTTTGCCGTATACATACCATGGTTCATGACACCGTACCGGATATCGTATCGAAAAAGTTAATGGTACGATATTTTATGATAAAATCGTGGTTTAATTATACGTCAACCATTAGACCGTCAAAAATTGCCTACCGATTTAACCTACGGTATTAGTATTTCGTGTTTGAACTACGGTACGATACGGTTTCATGGACTATAATACATACACTTTTACGTACATTCCACAGATTTTAACTGATCACAATCTGACCCTACAGTTATTAACTACTTTTACTGCCAACAGAGATAATTAAAAACAGACACACAACACAAGTAGGTCATTATTCATACAACGAAACACAACGTTGGAGAATACAACAACAACAAAAAAAAAATTAAGAACATAAACATAACACTACTTGTGAAGACGAGACATGTCTACGCACGTACGTAGCGACATTAAACGATAACCAGATACGTGCGTGGGCCGCCGGGCTCTCACTTACCAGCCGGCTTGGCAGTGGCGTTGTGGACGTAGTCCTGGGCCTTGTTAACGTACGTGGTGGTGGTGCCAGCCACAGTCTCGGCGGCGCCGGTGACGGAGGCCTGAGCCGACGCTGCAAGCCCCTTGGTGCCCGTCACAATCTTTTCGGTGCTGGTCGCCGCCGCGGGCTTTTCCTCCATGCCGACGGCCTTTTTTGCGGAGGAAATAAGACCGGCCATGATGCTTGCAAATTAAACGACTGGGAAATGAGGGAGAGATATTTCGTTTGGGTAGTAAGGTGATGGGATAGTGGTGATACTGCTATATATAAAAGTAAATGGTGGGGTGCAGTTGGGAAGATTTTTTATTTTCATTTTCACCCCTCTCGTCGTTACGTATTTGGCCGACACTTCTGCTTTAATCTCGTTCACGTATATTATGTGTACTTCTGCTTTAATACAGGTTTTTAAAGAAAAGGTAAAAGTGCAAAAATAAAAGTGATCGAGTATTTATTATTCACTATTAGGGCGACAAATGATGCTCATGGGTCGAAGTTTGATTCGAAAAATGCTCGTTCGAGACTCGACTTGTTTACTAATGGGCCGAGCTCAAACTGCACCTTGTTCAGCTTGTAAAGTTCGCGATCCAACTCGAATCGGTGGCTTGTTAAGCTAAATCATTGGTTAGCTCGTTTTGAGCTATCAACTGGCTCGATAGTAAGGTAAGTGAACCTCCTCTACTAGAAACTTAAGGGCAAATCGATTAATTACTTATTACTTGGCTTGTTGATAATTCATACATTTGTTAGATTACATATATCGGCATATATACTGTTTAAGAGTATGAAGACATGGCCAAATCTGTCTCGTTTATATTTTTAAAATGAAATTGTATCATAAATTATTTAAATACTAATTTTTATCAAATAACATCATTTGAAAAATTAAAATTTATGAGCTAATTGATATTATACGTGAGCTAGAGGTTATCTCACGAGCTAATTGATGAGCCTAACTCGAGTAGAGCTCATGAGCTCATTAACAAGCCAAGCTCGAGTCAAACACATGCTAAGATTTTAGTAAACAAGCCGAGCTCGTGCTCGAGTCGTTTATTAACAGGCTGAGCTCAAGCTAGATCAAAACTCGGTTCGACTCGACTCATTTGCAGCCTTATTTTTTATATACATGTGTGGCACATAATTGACACTCTTTCACTACCTTTGGACATGCTTCTCCTCTCCTCTCTTGATACTTTTCTAAACTAGCAAACAACTTTTCTCATGAAGTTAGTTCACAACTGTTATTAAAGCCCGACAGACGGATAAATGCTACAATTGCCAAAAATTCCGGTTAATATATTCGTACTCATCACCATGTCAAAGAAGAACGAACAACATCCCAACTGCACCAAGCTCTTGTTTTGTCTCGTGTTATAAACCCAAGTATAAACTCAATTGGAAGTTTAGCATAATAGTCCTTATTTTCTTAAATAATACATGAATTCACATTTAAAGTATTTGTTAGCAATTTTATTTTGCTTAAATACTTGGTATGAATTTTGGTCTCTTCCAAAAACGAAAGAGTACTCATGTATTATGGTTAACATCACTTTGTTAACGGTTCTTTAACAATTTTAAAAGAGTTAACCAATAAAAAACAGATCACTCGCTAAACCAGCGCTTACTTCGGTTTGATTCCAACAATAATTTATATGCTCTTGGATTTTAAGGTAAAAAGATCTGAAAAAGTAAACCCAAATTCTACTCACAGGATGGAGAGGTAGTGTAGTTGAAGTTGCCACAGATAAGCTTCGGGGTGTAGCGGGCAGAAGCGCAGAAGATGGAACGCTAGTAGCCACAAGATGGCTAAAGATCTGCTCGTGGTGCAGAGGGAAACCTCATGACTTGTCTTGTTCCTCCTTTAACAGATATAATAATAACAACAACTATTTAAATTATTAATAATGGGACCAGGAAACTCCAATGTGCGTTTGCCGACATGAAAAATTAATGGCTTTAGAAAGAAAGAAAGAAAAGAAAAAGGCATAAAAAACGAAAAAGAAGTGGATGCGCACAATTTCCCCGAAGAGATATTTCTACGGAGGATTTGGATAATCATCAAGATGCGGTCGAGATGCCCAGATCGTATGATACCAATAGGATGTCGGCATTTGTTCAATTATTTTGAACCAATATAAGCTTTTTCTCCCTTTCGTTTATTACTATCATTTATGGCTTAAATCTTTTTTTATTACTCAGTAATCTCAACTACACGTGTCACTTTATGACATCGGGTCTTATTAAATCTGTGGTCCACCTGCAATCAAATTCGACGCCAACGAGGCTTCGCTCCTAGGAATGGCAATCAAACCCATGGCCGCGGGTACCCGACCGCCCCATACCCAGTCAACGCGGGGAATCCCCGCTTTGACCGGGTATGGGGCGGGTATGGGTAAAACCCGCAAAAGGTTTGATGGGTATGGGGTGGGTATGGTTTTAGCCTCCCCCGCCCCATACCCATACCCGCCCCACCAAGAGAATTTCTTCACATATAAAAAAATACGTGGATTAAATTGTAATCTATCAATGATGATGATGATGACTCGAGAAAATAAATAGTAGAAATGCAATTGAGTAACCACCTCAATCAAAACCTAATTCATTTCCCTCAATTCTCCTTCCACTCTTTCACTTTCCCCCTTGTCAACAAAATTATGTTAGTTAATTATTACTTAGTAAATGTATAAAGAGTTAGAGCATAATAATTTAAAAAATATTATAGTCTATATTATGTATTAATGGATGTTTTAGGATCATATTCTTTGAATCGTATTTAGAAAATGACCGTGTTTTGTTGACTTCGTGATATAATAGGTTTGTTTATGATTATAATTAAAACTTTTCTTGTAAGTTTTAGGTATAATAATGTTGGATGTACGGGGATGGGTATTACCCATGGGTACCCGAAACCCACGGGTATGGGGATGGGTTTGCAAAACATTCCCCTGCATGGGTATGGGGCGGGTATGGGTTTGGGTATTTGAAGATGGGGATGGGGATGGTTTAGGCAAACCCGCCCCAAACCCGCCCTATTCGCCCCCAAAAGCCTTGTACCTCCGGGAATACCAACAGGCCTCGCTTGGATTCGAACCTGGGACCTGCAACTCCTAATCCTTCACTGTTGCGGCAGCTTTACCGTTAACCTATCTTACCTTTGGTATTTATGGCTTAAATCTTTATATAGTTTGAATGGGTACAATTATTAGAATAATAGAAAAAGACTAGCTTATATCCGACTCGTTGTTCGGATGACTTTTTCGATTTATCCCCAGACAATTGATTTGAGTTTGGTTGTCTTATACCTGACCCGATGGTTTTTAAATCATTTCGAGACAAATTATTTGAGTTTGGTTGCCATAAATTCCATTATTTCTGGTGGAAAGCATAGAGGAAATCTAATGAATAGAAGGGGAATTGTGAAAATAATAACATGTGTTTTTTATTATAAATGAACTTAATTGAAAACCAAGCTAATGAAACAAAAAAGGCTTGAAAGCAGCGCCCCACAAGAGGTGAAGCGAGCCAAGTCCAGAAAAGAAAAAGGAAAATACAGAAAATGGAAGACCATGAACAGCCAACACGCAGGTCCCCCACACAATCAGAAGAAAACAATCAACAAGGAACAATCCCACCCAAAGAGAGTGAACGTCTAGAAGCTTCAACACAACAACTGTCAAAGAAGATCTTGGCGCCACCACAACCAGCTTTCCAATCTCTATACCATTGAAGACCCAGGTCTTTATCAACTTTGCCATGAACTATAATCCATCCCACAATAGCTTTCATGATCTTCCCAGAAACAATAGGTGCCTAACAGCTTTCATTCTGGAAAATTCTTTGATTCCTCTCCTTCCACACTAGCCAGCAAACAGCATGGATGACACATTGCAGAAAACTGCCACATATCCCATCCGTCGTCCCTGAGTGCCAGTTGTTGATCACGTCGACAATGTCCCTAAATGGCGCCCTTCAACTGTCAACATCACGAGAGACCATCTGCCAAAATTCCCTAGAGAAGCTACAGTCAATAAACAAATGGTTGATGCTCTCTCCACTGCAGTAGCACAAAGTACAGCGGTTCGCGAGAGCAACCCCTCGAAGCTTCAGGTTGTCCTGCGAAAGGATCTTCTTATGCCACACCAGCCCAAGGATAGTATGAAGATTAACAACATTATGCATTGCAGTCATCCAAACCTCCAAGTTTTCTTTTGGCGAACTTTGTAATTGGTGTGACGGAAAGCATTTTCAATATTCACTAATTCACCATCAGTAGTGTCATCGGTTACTTGTGGTGAAGTTAGAGAGGGAAATCTATGTTGTCAGATTGGGAAGAAGAATGAAAATATGTTAGCAAGAGTGAAAACATTATGGGTGTGTGTGATTCTAAAGTTTGAGTGAAAATATATAATGAATTCACCATAGTATCTAGACAATTGTCATTGTTGTTGTCGATGCCTTCTCCTTTTCTTCAATGGTCCTCAATAAACAAAGTTCTCTTGTAGTGTTGGAGTAATCGTAGTGCACATTTGATTCTTTACCTTCAAGCCCCAAAATTCCAATAAGTGATGAGTTGTCTTCATTTTGAGTTGTCATAAAACTACTGAGCCGATATGTTTAACAGTTTGGAGGCCACATGATGAGTAATAGCAAATTTGTTGCAACGAAGTTATCGATCATAGTAATGACAATGCAAAACATGTGTTAACAAATGGGAATATGGAGTACTTTGATGGATTGACATTAGAATGATGGAGTTGAACAATGGGATCAACCTCATTTTAGCGACACGTAATTTGGTTCGTTTGGTGTAGAGGACACCATATTTGACTCATAGAAACTATAGAAAGTTAAACCATCGCAAATAATATCAACTAAACATCCATACTTGTCTTCTATATAAGACATATGTGTAGTCCTCACAACCAGCCGTCAATCTCAAAACTAAAACTAACATAGTAGAATAAGCGCAAGTTAGTGTTCAAATGCGAGGTTGAACATCTAAGCTAAAGAGTTGCACCATGGTGCGAAGTTGAAAAGGAAAGCATTTTATATGGGACTTCCATGTCCTGACTTGACACGAACTTAACATAAGTGGTTTGTATTTGGTGAGGCCGACTTAGCTGTTGCGGTGTACCTCTATGATATGTAACATCCGAAGCGTATTGACATATTGAGAAAATGAAAATGAAAGTTGCAGTGAAACAAGTGAAAAGAAGATCTACAGATTCATAAGTGTGACAACCAATTAACAGGTCTATGCTCAACTGAATCCTCAAGGCAGCCTACTTCTGTTTTCAATTTTTTCTCACAAAAGCACCATCATAATTCCATGATTAACTCATACCAACATTATTTCTAAGAGGAGAACCAAATGAAAGCAGTAACTTTCATTCTCAATGTCTATGATTAGCACATATGTTGTCACACATTGTGGTGAAGTGGTTCTACAATTTCCACAATGGCGCAAAACTTGGACCCGCAAGAGTATAATGCGCATATATTGAGTGCTTGAGGCTCACACGGGTGCGATTGGTATATGAAATGGTACTCTTCTTTTAGTTCGAATTCAATACTGTCAATGACGCCGATGTTCATATACCAACCCGCAATATCAAAGGGGAAGTAACTCGATGCGCTAATCTGAACAACCTGCAATCCGATCCTCCCACAACCTACCAGACCCGTGATCCAATTGGCCCACAACCCGATGAACCTGCAACCCTACTAACCGAAACCCTGTTACACCCTGCCCTTTTCTTAAGTGAAAAAATGATCATATTGCCCTTGGTCATAAATTATCAAATTCCACCGTCATATCGATGAGGCAAAACAAATGTGTACTCTCAGTTCAAACAGTCTCGAGTTTCGACATAAATCGAGTAAGCATAGTTCAGTTCGGATTAAACTAACACGTAATTTGTGAGATGCCCAAGATTAAGCTAATACCTAGAACCATTCATAGTTTAAGCTAATACCTAGAACCATTTACCCCACTCGGCCTCAACTATACCCTTGCTAATCACCGTCCCATCTAAGCTAATACCTAGAACCATTTACCCCACTCGGCCTCAATTAACCCCTCGCTGATCCCCGTCCCATCTCTCCATCTCCTCGGATTCTCGCCTATGATACCTCTCTACAATGTGACCTGCTTGCTTAAGCAGGCAGGAGGAGGATGATCATGTCTAAAGGAGTCAGAGCACACCAGCAAACGAAATACCAATCACGTTCTCACCCATCGTACCTCCCTACTACGAGAGCAGCAGACCCTATACCCTGTCTCCTTGCTGTGGAGCACACCATCAAACGGAATACCAATCACGTTCTCACCCATCGTATCTCCCTACTACGAGAGCAGGAGACCCTGTACCCTGTCTCCTTCAGCAAGGAGACAGGATAGCAAGCGTAAGGAGGAGACTACACTTGCTTAAGCAAGGAGACAGGGTAGCCAACATAAGCAGGAGACCACGTTCTCGCCCATCATGCCTCCCTAAGGAGATAGGGTAGCAAGCGTAAGTAGGAGACCACGCTTGCTTAAGCAAGGAGACAGGGTAGCCAACATAAACAGGAGACCACGTTCTCCCCCATCACACCTCCCTACCTACGAGAGCTCATTGCTTAAGCAAGCAGGAGACAGGGGTCTAGATCTACTGCCTACTCCGTGACTACCTGTTATCTAGCGAGCCTAAGTTGAGTGAATGTGATTTTAAGCTAAAGTAGTAAGAAAGCTGGAAAAGCAGGAAATGGTTCGAAGTTCTTAAGCAAGGGAAGAGTCACTAGGGAATGAGTCCCCCTAGCTCCTTAGTTAGGTCAGAGTTGTAATTACCTTTGGTTGATTTACTGTTGATTAAACTG